AGGAAAAAAATTGAAATTTAGTATTTCTGCGAGCAATTAATTTGCAATAAATTCTGGTATATAATTCATCGATGAACATTTACTTAATAATTATTTTTTATTGTGGCAGTGGTAGCTTCATATAAAGCTGACATCGCCACCATTTTTCGGAAAAGTATAAGAGCAAAAAATGTTTTTCTTGTGTAATAAAATAGCAATAAATTAGCAATAAATTTTGCAACAAATTTTATTAAATTGTGCTAAAGTGGCAATTCCAGCTTTATATACATAGTCTTTAAAGCATCTCATACATGTACAATGCGTACCTACGTAACATACGTGATACAAAAACACCTGTTGATGATGGTTCTTCCCTATAAATGCCATGAGGTTAAAAGTGTAATCAATCAGGAGCAATTAACTTTAAAGGACGAACTAATAAGTGATTTCTATTGAATTAAATTTGTCTTCTCCGTGATAAAAAAAATCCTTCCTATACAAAAGCAATAGTCAAGTCAGGTCGAACGAGCAAGAAATAAAATCGTAATTATTTCGGCATACTTCCCCGACAATTTGGGATGCATTAGATGCGACTCAATGAGAGCATCTAGACTTTAAATTTTAAATTCAAAAGTCGAAAGATGAACATAAGAAACTCAAAGATTCTGAACATTTTGGTTTACTAAAAATATTGCTAAATCTACACGAAAGATTGAATTAACGGGAATACTCTACTCATTTTCAAATGGGATGTAGTATATTTAAATATTACATTTGTTTGGAAAGTAAATTTAGTGAAATCAATGTTGACTTTAGTGCCATACAAGTAGAGTACTAGATATAAGAGAATGTCTGGGAAACTAGAGTCTTTAAAGCATCTCATACATGTACAATGCGTACCTACATAACATACGTGATACAAAAACACCCGTTAACGATGTTTCTTCCGTATTAAATGCCATGAGGTTAAAAGTGTAATCAATCAGGAGCTATTAACTTTAAAGGACGAACTAATAAGTGATTTCTATTGGATTAAATTTGTCTTCTCCGTGATAAAAAAAATCCTTCCAATACAAAAGCAATAGCCAAGTCAGGTCGAACGAGCAAGAAATAAAATCGTAATTATTTCGACATACTTCCGCGACAATTTGGGATGCATTAGATGCGTCTCAAGGAGAGCATCTAGACTTAGGCAATTTTTATTTCGCCCGCCTTTTGTAAGTCAATTATTTTCATTAAGTGGAGTTCCGTTTGTACGTCTTAATCAGTAAAAGGGCCCGACAATCGTTTTCAATTGCAGGAGATAAGTTTTAAATTCAATACGGACAGTTAATAGGATCCTTGCTCTTTCCGACTTCTTCAGCGATCCACTAATCCACTTCCGGCTGCCAGTCGGATTATTTCAGTACATTGTTGTACATGTTCGATAACTTGTTATATTTTTTTTTGCGCCATTTGTTTGGATAATTATGTTCTTGTAATATTTAATAACGTCTCGACGTACACGATTTACCTTTAGTCGCTCACAAGGAGCTATCAATCACTATTTTTCAATTAGTTTATCGGCTTTTGAATTGGACCATAGACTTGACAAGTGCGAAGTGACTTCTTGAATTTCTCGAGATGAGAGGTAAAAGGAATCATCGTTATCAGTTTATTTTCATTGGTTTTGATTTTTTAACAGAATTATCGAACACATCTTCAACTATCGACAGTTTCAGTCGTAATAGTGAATACGAGATTCTCGAAAAAATTCCACCTTCAGAATATTGAACGCTTAATCGACGTCCTAAGGTGAAGTGAAACATGTCGAAGAACTTGCTCGACGTCGGTAAAAAATGTTTTTTCTAAATACCTACGTTGTCGACGTTTGTTTTTATATCAACCGCTGTGTCGAATTATATTGAGTATTGTACTAAATGGCACACTCCATCTGTCGTTTTGGTATAATAATTATAAAGAAATCGAAGTAAAACTCCAAAAATCCTCCGGATTCATAGTTTCTGAGGCTCTAATTGACTGCAGAAGGACCCCCTGCGCCATCTGTGATATCAGTGTCAACTAAACTTTCACTCCTAGACCTCGTATTACCACAGTTTTAGCGTAGTTGTCGCACAAGACACTTTTTTTCTCTTTATCCCGTTCAAATGCGAGTTTCTCGATTACCATAGTGTTCTAAATTGTCGTACAATTGTCATAATTTAGAACACTCTGGTAATTGAGAAACTCGCATTTGAACGCTATAAAGGGAAAAAAATAGTGTTTTGTGCGCTTCTATGCCAAAACGATGTGAATACGAGATCTCGGAGGGAAAATTCGATTTCTTTATAATTATTGTACGGAAACGCCATATAGAGTATGCCATTTAATGCAATACCCAATATAATTCGAAAAAGCTGTCAATACAGGCTCTAATATCAGAAACGAAAGGGTTAGGACTATTGTACGGCAATTTAGAACACTCTGGTAAACGAGAAACTTGCATTTGAACGGGATAAAAGCAAAACAAATGTCTTATGAGCGGATATGCTAAAACGATGGGAATACGAGGTCTCGGAGTGAAAATTTAGTTGACACTGATATCACAGATGGCGCAGGGGGTCCCTCTGCAGTTAATTAGAGCCTCGGAAACTATGAATCCAGAGGATTTCTGGAGTTTTACTTCGATTTCTTTATAATTATTGTACGAAAACGACAGGTGGAGTATGTCATTTAGTATAATACCCAATATAATTCGACACAGCTGTCGATATAAAAATGAACGTCGGCAACGTAAGTGTTTAGAAAGATCTTCTTTATCGACGTCAATCAAGTTCCTCGACGTGTTTCAATTCACCTTAACGAGACTAACGTATGGATAATGAACCTTCACATGTAAATACCTACGGGATGAAAATAAACAGATAATGGAAATAAGATTTTCCCAAAAAATCCTTCAATCTTTGAGTTACGTGACCCGCGTCTTCGTGCAGTATATCGGCACTGGTACTGAAAAAGAAACGTTTCCTTTTTTCCTCCCGAAATGACGAAAGAACCATCATCCGAGAATCACTCGGAGGCGTGATAGGCGCGTGCTCGGAGTGTGGCAGAAGAGAAACTAAAAATAAAGTGAAAAAGGAAACATGGCGCGATAATGTTCGGTCTGACCCCGGGAACGCTCCATCGATAAAGATTCTCGTCGCCCGACTATTCACCGGATTTCTGTCCACTCTTCCTCTTTCGCCCTCTTATTTGAACGCGATAAGGGGTTGCGTCACGGAAGACCGATTGAATTTTTCTCGGATTTCGCAGGGAATAATTTCCGCTCTGGGCCGGTTCACGCCGAGATTTCCGACGAATCCTGACACTCAGTCGTTGATCTCCCTTATCGAGAAGTCAGTGAGGTCACACCTCGGGAACTCTGTTGATAACTCATCGATGGAAACAGTAATTGGTGTCATCGGGGCGAAATTAATCCGTCGACCCGCGGAATTTAGGAATACGGCACAAACAGACCGATAACGGGGGACCAAATATTTTCGCCGGAAAGAAATTGATCTTTCGAGGCGTTACCGATCACGATTATTTCCTTAAGGTGAAGTGAAACACGTCGAGGAACTTGATCGACGTCGATAGAGAAGATTTTTTTACATGCCTACGTTGCCGACGTTCGTTTTTATATTGACAGCTGTATCGAATTATATTGGGTATTGTACCAAAAGGCATACTCCACCTGTCGTTTTCGTACAATAATTATAAAGAAATCGAGGTAAAACTCCAGAAATCCTCTAGATTCGTGCTTTCTGAGACCCTAGATGACTGCAGAGGGACCCCCTGCGCCATCTGTGATTTCCAGGTCAATTAAATTTTCATTCCGAGACCTCGTATTCCCATCGTTTTGACATAGAAGCGCATACAACACTTTTTTTGCCTTTACCCCATTCAAATGCGAGTTTATCGATTACCAGAGTGTTCTAAATTGTCGTAAAATTGTCCTGACCCTTTCGATTCTGATATCAGAGCCTTAGATAATTCTATATTGATCGAAATATGAGAACTCGACGCCATTTTGGTTCTGGTCTGGCCTAAGTTAACAAAATTTTTCCAAAAATCCAAAATTTGAATGTGTCAGGACAATTCTTAGATGTGTCAAAGTTTCGGACAGTTTGGTCCAATACCCTTAAATAAAAGTGTTGTATTCGAATCGACTGATTTGAAGGGGGTTTTACTTCACCTTAAGGTGAAGATGAAACGTTCAAGGGTATTGGGTAGAACCCTCTAAAACTTTGACACATGACTCGTGAGCACCTAGGAATTCTGACACTTTCAAAATTCGGAATTTTGGAAAAAAATGTCTTAATTTGGCCCAAACCAGAATCAAAATGGCGTCGAGTTCTCATATTTCGTTCGATATCCAATTATCGAAGACTCTAATACGAGAAACGAAATTATCAGGACAATTGTACGACAATTTACAACACCATATTAATCGAGAAACTCACAGTTGAACGGGATAAAGACAAAAAAAAGTCTCATGCGCCGCTATACCAAACCGGTGGGAATACCAGGTCTCGGAATAAAAATTTAGTTAACCTGGAAATCACAGATGGCGCAGGGGGTCCCTCTGCAATCAATCAATGCCTCAGAAACCATGAACTCAGAGGATTTCTCGTGTTTCACTTCGATTTCTTTGTAATTCTCGAAACGACACATGCCATTTAGTACAACACTCGCTATAATTTGACACAGCTGTCGATATAAAAACCAACGTCGGCAACGTAGGTATTTAGAGAAACTTTTTTTACCGACGTCGTTCAAGTTCCTGGGCGTGTTTCACTTCACCTTAAACGGCACACTAAGCAAGGGAGATTAATTAGAAACGAATGTAGGGCTAATTAGAGCGAAAACTCCCCCCACCCANCCCAGGATCGGGTAAAACGGCTCCGCGGGGGGCGCTACGCGCCCGTTCTCCACTAATTTCTTACGACCCTCTTACAGAAGCCGCTTCTTTGGTAATGAGTTTTTACTTGGTTTTTCTCTAGCTTCCACGGCGGTGATCCTGAAGGCCGAGTCGGAAAACAACCGCATATCGAGTCTTTCCGGGGACGATCTCGGCGCGGGAGTGCGGATAGGACGGGACGAGGACGCAGTCGCGGATAGGACGGATCTCGTTATGGATTCGGCGCAGCCAGCCATGGTGAAGCAAGCCGACTACGTCGTAGGTCAGTATTATCCCTTGTTTACGGAGGCCCCGTCATCCCCTAATTCTTCATCTACCGCCGATTTATCGACCCGAGTAAGCTGAACGTCCGATGACGTTGAATAATTTTTTTCGCTTTTTTTGTTTTTTTTTAGAACTCCAATCGTAGCGCTTTAGACTTGGATTCTCTCTCGGGCGAGGCTCGAGTAGCTTCTGTCGCAATTATCGACGTTATCTTTCAAGGCGCTCTAGAGATCCCGTCTGTTTTTTTTTTTCTTCTAAACGTTTTTCTAATAATCGATACGAAATTCTCCATGAATTTTGCCCGGTTTGGCCCCACGGAACGAAATTCGACCCGGTCTCGTTAAGCTGGTTAAGGTGGTGTGAAAGTGGCGTCGGAGAGGTTTTGTTTATAAAACTTTTCTCCCAACTCGGTTTACCGAATAGTTTGACACTATAACGTGAATAGGAATACTATAAGGAAGGTCCTGAAACTCGTGAGATTTCAAGTCTTTTCAAATTTGTTTATAGGTATTTTGAAAATAGTTTATAAAAAATGAAATTTCGCGAGTTTCATGGCCTACCTTAGGGTTTCCACATTCACGTTTTGAAGTATGAAACGATTTGAGACACCCAGTTCGTAGAAAAGTTTTATGAACGATTGACCCCTCGGATTACACTTTTACATTCCCTTAAGGTGGTGTGAAAGTGGCGTCGGAGAGGTTTTGTTTATAAAACATCTCTCCCAACTCGGTTTACCGGAGTTTGAAATGTTACAACGTGAATAGAGAGACTATAAGGAAGGTCCTAGAACTCGTGAAATTTCAAGTATTTTCAAATTTCTTTATAGGTATTTTGAAAATAGTTTATAAAAAATGAAATTCCGCGAGTTTCAGGACCTACCTTAGGGTCTCCATATTCACGTTTTAAAGTATGAAACGATTTGAGACCCCCAGTTCTATGAAAAGTTTTATGAACGATTGAGCTTTCGGATGCCACTTTCACATCCCCTTAAGCCAACTGAAGCCGGTAGTTTCAAGTGGGTGGGTTTCGAGTGATTAGATTCTATTTTCTCTTATCAACGGAGGTAATTGCGCTCCTTTCTTCCTTCTTTTCATTTCGAAGGAAGGACTCGATGAAGCGGCTGTTGTTACTCGTCGGCGCGATTGCTTTCGGAATTGCGAGATATCGACCAAGTTGACTTTGGAATCCCCAGGAACCAATCAATATGAGTATAAGAAACCTAGTTAATCATTAGGGAGACTAGGATCCAAAGTTCACTGTGTCGAGATGTTTAATATCTTCGGACAGTTGGACGGTTTCAGGAAACTCGGTGTCCATGATATCGCCGGAAACTCGGGGGGAGGGGGGGATTTTTTTTCTGTGTGGTTTCTCCACCATTCTCATTAAGAAACTCGGTAGAGTGTCGTACCAAAGATGTATATAGAGGCGCGAAACTCAGACCTAGACATTATCTGCGATGTTCAGCCTGGCGTGTCAAATTGGACAACGAAAGTCGTTTGTTAAACCTCTTGAATGAGTAAAGTCAACTTTAATAAGGCCGTCGAGAGTGGACGAATTTTCTGCGTTTTTTTAAGCTACGAACGAAACCGATTGGTCCATTTAATACGGATGTGCATTTTTGTAATATTTCACTTCGCTTGGGTCGCTTGAATTTACCCATCTCGCACGAAATGGCATCAATCGAAAGTGGACGATTTTTCTGCGTTTTTTAAGCTACGAACGAAACCGATTGGTCCATTTAATACGGAGATGTGCATTTTTTAATATTTCACTTCGCTTGGGTCGCTTGAATTTACCCATCTCGCATGAAATGGCATAAACCAAAGGTGCAGTTAGTTCACAAAGCGGAGTGACAAGTACTGCTGTACCGTTTCATATGTTCCTTAATACTATCGATGTCAAACTTGTTATTGTTAGTAATGTTAACGAGCGATTGTTTTTTTTACTTTTTCAGACGTCGTTCTACCAACCGTCCTGATCGCCTTGCTCTTCGTGGGCAATGCAATCATCATCTACATTATCTTCCAGTACAGGAAGAGGTAATTTTAATGATACTTTGTCACTGATATGGGTATACCGCAAACAGTAAGATAAAGTTAATGATAAAGGATACGGTAGAATAAAAATATGTCCAACTTTCTCTGAATCGCGTAGGAGTATTTTATACAAGCAATGTTCAGTCTGATTATCTAGTAACTATGAAGATCGACGAAAAGGTACAATCTCGCGGACTCTCGATAAGTTTCTTCGGTTCTGTTCGGTATACTACGTATGAATTTTGATTAATACGTCTCTAATTCTATAATCTTTGGTTACAGAAAAATCCCAGCAGCGACCGAGCGAGAGGAAGTGGCTTTAAGGCAACCGTCGAACGTTCCTCAAGTTTGACCGGGGCTCGAAGAAAATTTAGATTAGGTTTGCACGTAAATTCGGAGACACAAAGAGTTCATAACCGAGGCCTAAGTAGACCCTCGTGCGCAGTCGACAATGGCCAGGAGTTCGGAAGGCCCGTTCCAAAAGGAAAGGGCCGAGAAGACATCTCGTAGCTGAAACTGCCGAAAATTGGCGAAAATTGCTCGCCCGGGGAGAGAATACACCATCGACGTCCTCCTTTTCTTCGTTTTCCTCGAGACAGATACCCTATGGCGTGTCTGAAAACTATCTCATCTCATAACACTGTATCCTCTATCTCTCCTTTGCATTTTGCGAAGCGATTCATTGCCCAAGGCGAAGCGGAAGCGTCCACTTTGGGGCGCGCTCTTTCCTCGCATATTCCCATCGCCATCGACTCGATCTTCATGACGCATCTCAATCGTGTTAATTATAGTATAGGGAGATACATAAAACTATAATTCGTCCAAATTGTAATTAAGTTAAAATAAAGGATGTTTTCATAAGAACTAAGTGAGTTTCGATTGCGTAGACGTTAGAAACAGATAATACATAAAATTAAGAGCGCTCACCACTCTAGCGATTTTGCAGGGCCTCACGGGGACAACGATTCCGAACGTATTTCTAAACCGACCGAGCTTAACGAGTGCTCATATCGAAGATGAAATGTTGACCTGTGTTTATATGAGCCCATAATTATGAAAGTGGTCCAAGTCAAAATTAAAAAAAAAAATGAGTTTATCAGTTATTTCACCCTACATCATTTTAAACTAAATTAATTAAATGTAATTTTTACGATATTGTCAAAAATGAATCATTCGATAGTGGTTGTAATTTCAACATTATATGGAATTCATTTAGTGTTAATTATGAAAGTGGTCTAAGCGAAAAATTTAAAGAAATTATATAAACATAACCATAAAATGGCACGTGGCCCTCTAGCGCGTTTTTGAACTACACAATAAGCCGACAAATGACAATCAAACGATAACAGAACCGACAATACTTTCCGGTCTACCTAACAATATATGGAATTCATCTAGTTCTATTTTGAAAGTGCATTGATTCAGTTGGGCTCTTCCGAACTAATTATCGGCGGAAAATTAATTGATATATTTTACCACTATGTCAACAGATAGCGGTTCGGGTAAGTTAATGACAACGTACTTATTATGTGAATACGTTAATTATTATTCGGATATGATGTGATTTGCAGATATTATACGACCACGTAATATTTCTTCAGATGATTCTAAATTCCACGTTTTGAATCNCAATGTCCTTTTACCTAGGAAGGAGGTGCTTGATCGAAAACCGCTCCCATATAAATACACGTCAACATTTTATCTTTAAAACGAGCACCCGTTCAGCTCAATCGGTTGAGAAATACGCTCAACATCGTTGTCCCCGTGGAGCACCTTTATCAGGATTTTCGAGTTTCTCGCGAGGAATTTGGGCATTCCTTAGCCACCGTTGCCGACTCTAGGCGGAGCGCCCACCTGGCGTGTGCGTACGGCCGGGGGTCACCCACGTTTCGGCGACTAGTCCAGAGGCGTCTAGCCGTTGTGTGAGTCCTATACGTGCAAAATACGCACACATTTTTCACCCGTTGCTAAACACCACCCATTATGCGTCGCGTCTCCCTCATCCGAGCGAGAAAGTACGTTTTGGTTACCTCCCGAATTCGATGCTAATGCCATCTAGCGGTGGAAGTCATCGTCCCCACATTGGTGGTGAACGCCGTTAATAGAACCTAAACTTTCGGCCCAAGAGAGTGTCGATTAAAAGAAATTGATTTATTTGAATTTACTTACTGTTACTTATTGATCTATGTATTTACACCACAAATTCTGTCGCCTCGTTGAGGAATCAAATGCATTGTACTGTACATTCATATTCTCCTAAATTAGGAGATCAGAAATATTTTTGGAGGGGCTCCCCGAGGATCTCTTCTAAAGTACGGACTGCATTTTGGGCATTTTTCTCCGTTAATTCGTCTTCGTCCTCCAATAATTCGGCGAGGAATGGGACGGTCTCTGGGAGCAGAGGCATAAAGTCGCTTCCCAATTTCCTCGCAATTTCAACCTGCAACAATGCAAGAACTGTTAACTTCTCGTGGCACTGAAATATTCAGGGTAATTAACACGTTAAGCGCGGCGACAGTCCCTGGGGACTGATAATCAACTTTCCGTCTAGGCGGCCTCAGTCCCTGGGAACTGACACGGCATCAAGAATCCTATATATCAAAAATTGTACCGCCTAAACGGAAAGCTAAGCAAAGTCGGTTCCGCGCTCAACGTGTTAATGATCGTTTTAACTTCAGAAATTTTGTTCTTTAAACGTTGACATTATCTTAAGGTGATATGAAAGAGTCAGCCTGTATATATCTGAGAGGTCCAATGGTTGGAGAAAGTATTCTCCGAATTGGGGGTACCGATTCGTTTCAAATTTTACCACGGGAATATTGAGGCCCTAAAGTAGGTCCTGACATTCATGAAATTTCATTTTTCATCAAAAATTAATTTATTTGCCATGGACTAGAACCAACATGGCGTGGTCCGGGCACGTTTTTGATGTTTTACGCTTCTTGGAGATTTAGAATCGAAAATAAAGGGTTTCAGGACCTACCTCGAACAATTTAGAATACCGTACAAATGGAATGTTACACAGTCAGATGGGTAAATATGGAAAATACTTTCACCAACGATTGCAAGAGAATGTTGGCTTGTCTTGGGGCTAACGCGTGTGTTTGGAGCCTAAATTTAGTTGCAGCTAAACGTCACAGATGGCGACGTTGACCCTAAACAGTCGTTGGATTAATGAATCCACGGAGTTTCGATAGTTTTACGTCAATCTCTTCATCATTACTTTCCCTAAATGATATATGGAACGCTTTAGTTCGTATAATTCTCACCGTAGACTGTAAAAGACTTCAACATAAATATAAATGTCCACTTGTTACCACTTGAGGATTCGAAATGACGTTGCCACCAAAAAAGGTTTAACCCTTTGCGGACGCGACTTTTCCTTTATAAAAGCTTTTGGGCAGCCTTTTGCCGACACTCGTCCGCAAAGGGTTAAGTCAATTTTAATTCATCGACCTCGATTAAAATTCTCAGCGCCTTTCATATCATCTTAATTATACTAACCAGAGAACCAAGCGCTGTATTCCGGACTTGCGGCTTCGTGTGTCTGGTTTTCAATAAAGTTTGATACACCAATTGTTTGTGCAACGAGTCGTCTTGAATGGCTCCTGCGAAAGATGCGATGCAAGGAACGATAAGATCTTTCGCTCGTGTTTCATAGTCCTGCGTACTGCCGACAGTGTTCTCTATTTGATCCACCAATGGTTGGGCAAGGGCCTCAAAGCGTTCTTGGTTTACGAAATTTTGCGCATCGTAATTAAATATCCTATTTAAAGTGAGGAGAATCGCCTCAATGAGCTCCACTTTATTCTTCTCCAACGTCAAGGTCAACTCCTGAGAATCCTCAGATATAATATTGTTGCTAACCAGAAGTAATGCAGCATGTTTCAGAAAATGGCCCGCGAATAATACAAACAAGGATTTCAAGCATTCCGCTACGTTTGCCGATATCCTGGAAAACGGAAAAACACGATCAGTAGAGAACTATTCATCTAAATGATATCTATCCAAAGTTCGAATTACAACCAAAATCTTAAGGTGAAGTGAAACACGTCGTGGAATTTGATCGACGTCGATAAAGATTTTTCTAAATGCCTACGTTGCCGACGTCGTTTTTATATTGACAGCGATATATTGATATCGAATTGTATTGGATATTGTACCAAATGGCATACTCCACCTGTCGTTTTCGTACAATAAATATCAAGAAATCAAAGTAAAACTCCAGAAATCCTCTGAATTCGTGCTTTCTGGGGCCCTAATTGACTGCAGAGAGACCCCCTGCGCCATCTGTGATTACCAGGTCAATTAAATTTTCACTTCGAGACCTCGTATTCCCATCGTTTTGGCATAGAACCGCATACAACACTTTTTTTGCCTTTATCCCGTTCAAATCCGAGTTTATCGATTACCAGAGTGTTTTAAATTGTTGTAAAATTGTCCTGACCGTTTCGTTTCTCATATCGGAGCCTTCGATAATTGTATATTGATCGAAATATGAGAGCTCGACGCCATTTTGATACTGGTTTGGTCTGAGTTAAAAAATTAAAAAAAAATCCAAATTTTTAATGTGTCAGGACAATTATTAGATGATCAGGAGTGATGTGTCAAAGTTTCGGACAATTTGGTCTAATACCCTTAAAAAAAAGTGTTGTATTCAAATCGACTGATTTGAAGGGGGTTTCACTTCACCTTAAGACGTCAGGACGTTTATCAAAATTCAGGACTTCGTCGAGAAGTTGTGATTTTGGTCAAAAGCAGAAGCAAGAAATTGCAAAGTTATAGCAATGTCAAAGTTATGATAGTTTACCTAAAGAATGTAATGTTCCGTAGCTTATGGCCGGGATTTCTAGCCGCCCAATCGTACAGCCTGTAATAAAGAGGTCTAAAAGTGGTCTCGCTCAATTTAAGAACTAGAGCCACCAAAGCTGTGCCAGCACTCTCTTCGACGTTAACAATTATCTTCAGGCTCTCCTCGTCGACCTCGTCTTCGTCGCTGCAACCCATGTCCTCCCGAAATTGTAAGACTTTCAGAAAAAAGGCTGCAAGGTCCGAAATGGCAACCTTTAAATCAGGGGATCGCACATTGGCAAAAGACTCTGACAAGACACTCATCAAGGGGCCGATGCATTCGTAAGACTTATTTGAAAGAAGTACTGCATAAGTCTTGTTCATTGCTGGCAGTAAGACCCGCAAAGGAATGCAATTAGACAGTTTCTGAGCAGTTGCATTTAACCTCGTTGTTATCAGGGTGACCTGTAAATACAAAAATGAATAGGATTACTTCTGGAAATGTCGAGCCCATAAAAAAGACGAAGAATGATTTCGATCTCCGAAGAAGAATTATAGTTGACTGTCCTTTTCGAAAATATGGTTCGATATGAAAAAGAAACTCTAACGTTATACCTTTGAATTTTCCTTGTCAGTGTAGAGGGCTTTCAATCGACTCAATTGAAGGAGCAGCTGATCCAAGTACAGCGACAGGAAGTTCCCGATTGATTCGACTATTTTCTGCAGGGCGCTAATTATGCTAATGGCTACAACATCCGGTGTTTCCTGGTTACAGCAAACTTCCAAAAGACGCAGGATCGCTGGCAAGAAATTATTCAATGACTGTATTGCGTGTACACGCATTGCACTGCATAATTCGGCAACGCAGAGCACGGCACTGGCAAGCACAGGACCGTCTCGGGTTTTCACAATCTTCGTGGCCATCTCCAGAATCTAGGTACAAGGAAATACGTAATATGGATTAATTTCATTACACTGGAGTTTTAAATTATTGCAAATGAAGCTGACCGTTTAAATGGTAGAGATCTACGTATATGTATCAGAATCATCAATTGTAGATTTTATAGACACAAGACTATGGCCTTCATATCTTAAGGTGATGTGAAAGTGGCGTCGAAGAGGTTTTGTTTATAAAACATTTCTCCCAACTCGGTTTACCGAATAGTTTGACACTTTACACCGTGAATGGGAAACCTATAAGGAAGGTCCTAGAACTCGTGAAATTTAAAGTCTTTTCAAATTTCTTTATAGGTATTTTAAAAATAGTTTATTAAAAATGAAATTTCGCGAGTTTCAGGGCCTACCTTAGGGTTTCCATATTCACGTTTTGAAGTTTCAGAGAATTCGGTGCACCCAGTTTAGAGAAAAGTCTTATAACTATTCTGACGTTTTGATACATAGAATGTCTAGATATATAGAATGACCCTTTCGTATCACCTTAAGGTGTATGTATAAAATGTCAAAATATTTATGAAGCTTTTTTCAAAACTGGGCGAGCCGAATCATTCGAAATTTCGGCATATGATTATGAATGCTCTATGGAAAAACGCAATGCTAGTAAAATTTCATTAAAAAAAAAAAAGAATGTTTAGTTAGGCTAGACTACAAGCAATATCTCATTTTTCTGTGAAAAATGAAGTCTTAAGAGCATCGCGTTTTTTTTTAGGGCCTCCATAATCACGTGTTAAAGTTTCAGAAGATTCGGTGCACCCAATTTAGAGAAAAGTCTTATAACGATTTTGACGTTTTGGTATATAGAATAACCCTTTCATATCACCTTAAAATGACATCTTCGCGTTCGACGCAGAATGAAAATCTTCGTACGCTTACCGGTTTAAAGACTTCGGGGTAATCGTTAGCCAGCAGCTTGGCCAACAGTTTGAAACTGATGAATGCCGTTTGTACGATCTCATCTTGCACATTTCCGGGCTTAACTTCCTTCTTGACTTTTCCATGAACTTTGACGAATTTCGTCAGAGGATCTATCAAGGTCAACAAATCTTCGCGATCGTTCTCTCCGAATTTCTTCTGCTGTATCCTGGCATTTAGCAGTTCAAGGGCGTTCTTTCTTACGGCCAGGAGGTCGTGCTCCAGAAGTCGCTTAATGCTGGCGATGAAGGTCTCGTTCGGCAGAAGGGCGTTCACCACGTCCAAGGCATCGTAGAGGTGGTGAAGGTAGACCTTCCAGTACTTGGCCTTCGGTTTGCCTTGATGAAGGTCGGCACTTCTGGAGGCGCTCTGGATCAAGATCACCAGTTCCACGATCAACTCGTCGTAGTAACTCTTCATAGCCTCGACCTCCTCTTCACTAAGGAGCGCCACTCTGTTTACGAACTCCGGAGCCGAAAGCACCGCTCCCAGGAAATTCACTAAAACATATTTGTACCTATCGAGGTACTTCTGAGAGATCTTAGCGACCCCGAAAACGTGGCCCGCGGAAATGCGAAGAGCTTCCTGCCTTTCAGGGTCCACTTCTACGGGTAGATCGCGCGCGAACGCCGCCAGTTTTACGCAAACCTCTACGAGTCTTTTCGGAGGGAACTCCGAGGAGATGTTCAGGGCGAACTCCAGCCTCTCGGAGGACGCCTTTTGCACCTTCTGCTGAGACAGCTGGAATCTAACTTGGCTGTCGAACGTTAGTAAATAGAAAAGATGGAGATGTTCCTCCAGGAGTTGAAGAAGCTTAACGAACAACGGAAGTCTTCGATGCTCCGGAATATCCGGGAGTGAAGTGACGAAGACTCTTAGTATCTGACAAAGATGTTTCTCATCCCCGGATGAGTTGACTATGGGTACCACAGTTTCGATGGTTTTGGATATTATTTGGATAGAGTAGGCGTCGTCCTGCCGTAGGACGGTATTTCCCATAAAGGTGAAAATCGGCATGATGTTGTGGAGAGCACTCTCCACGTCCGCAACTTTGAAAAGTTCTACCAGGACCATCAGAGCGTGGTGATGGGTCTGGGGATTTTGCGAGGTGCGGATGCACTGGGCTATCAGGTCGACCTGGACGTGGGCGTCGGGGATTTTCAGATTCTTCGAGGCCAAGTGATGAATCGACGACAGCAACAGTTGATTGGTATACTCCACTGGGTTCTGCTCCTCAAATGCAAGACACGTCCTCAGCAAATCGAATAGGGCTGGGAATAACGAGGCTTCGTGTTTTATGTTGTCCGTTTGTTGAATAAATTCTAAAACGGTGACTCCTCTTCGCCAGACACGAGAATTTACCACCTCGGGACTAGGGATCACTTCGGTGATTCGAGTTACTCTTCTCCTTTTGGAGTTAGTTCTCGTGGAGTTGGTTTCAGAGGCCTGGGTGCAAGCCTTCATGGCCTGCAGTTCTTTGATGATGAGGCTAGCATCGACGTTGATTCGTTTAACGGCTCTATTCACGCAAGTGACTACACTACCCAATTCGCAATCTGTCACCAGATCGACGAGTTTGGCTAAAACCTTACCCTGGAGAGCTAGCGAGACCTTGCCCAGAGAATCGAAGAAGAGCTCGTCAATCTGCTTGACGAGGATAACGCAAGGTGGCCAAAAACCCTTCTCGGTTGAAAGTTGAGACGACTGATCATCTATACAGGCTCTGAAGAATTCCCATACTTCGGAGCTCTTTAGAGCTTCCACCATTGTACCGTTGAAACGGAGAAGAAGATTCTTCAAAGCTTTCCCTGTAAAAGTGTTTCCAGGATTTGATCTCAGCTGTTCCAGAAGTTTGATGCCTAGAGGAGTAAGGATTTTAACGATCGAGGGGCCATTTACGTGCACCAGAACATCCAACAGCTGAGAGACGATGTGGATGGGAACGTCCTCTTTGGTGGCTGTCCTTAGCAGGGAGTCTCGAGCAACTTGCAATTTTTCACGAAGATTTTCATTGATTTGGTGACTTACGTCAGGGTCTGGAGAAAGCAGAGTGTACAGGGCCAAAGGCAGCTGATCACAATCTACGGCTATCTCCGTTTTCTTTGTTGCTAATTCATTCAGTAGAGTAGAGTAACCTTCCATAGATAAGTTAAACGTCTGCGACAGGGTCTTGAGGACGCCTAGAGCCGACTTTCTGACCTGACTGCTCTTACTGGAAAGAGCTATTAAGAGATTCGTTACAAAGACATCATCCAGAAAGGCCCACTGAAGCGTTCGACTGCTGCTAAGGAGCACCGCACTAATTTCTAAGCAATGCAGTGAAGTTTGCGGATCAACTGGCTTAATGTAAAACTGTGACAGAAAACGTACTACGGCTTGTGCGCTGGAAAAGTGTCTTCTAAGAAAGATCTCCAAGCACCACTTGTAGTGACTGGTCCACGCACTTTTCCGCAGACCCTCGAAAATTATCTGGAGCAATTGAAGAATCAAGAAACTACGTTCAGGATCCTTTTCAAAATCCACGACAGGATTAGCATTTAGGTCTAGGCGTCTGTGCACCATCTCCAGAATGTACGTGCCTACTTGCAGGGGTAAAATTCCTTTTGATGTAAACTGAAGAGCTTCTTCAATTTTATAGCTGTTCAGATGATTGCAGCCTGGTAATGGTAACACCTTCGGATATTGCGTCATCATCTTCGCAGCGATTTCTATTATCTCCCTGGCTAAAACTGGAGGTAATGATCCCACGGGTACTCTACAAACGGAGCCTAGTAACAGCATATTGAAAAACAGGGTTGAAGCATCGCCATGGAAATCTTGGTGCTTCATAGCATTTAATATGTGCGATGCAGGTGGAAGTAGGTCCCATTTTAGTATATTGTGAAACGCAGCTGATGCTACTGCTTCGGCACTTAAAATATCACCTAAGTCTTCTTTGACACTCTGCAGGTAGATATTATTTTGAGCAAAACTGGATTGTAAAACTTGCATTGCGATATCCACCTCTTCTTCGGTCTTGGGAAATAAATATGGCAAAGCTGCTACAAAAATTGTAGTGTTGTCACCCTGGTCGCATAGTTGCAGGAGAATCTTCAACGCTGGCTTCGCAAGAACTATTCTGGATTCTTCGTGGCACTCCGATAATAGAACCATCAGTTTTTCGACAAGAATGTTCTTTGGAAAAAGACTTTGTAGTCTTTTTAAGGGGAAGTTTAATAGCGTGTGAATGACATCTACATTGTCATCATTGAATCTCATTAATAAAGCACTTTTTACCATCTCTAGGAAAACCTCAGAGACTTCTTCACCACCTTTTGACATTTTCTTTAATGCTGCGATCCGGAAAATTGGATTTATATGATTTAAGCCATCTAAAATGTCTAAAGAACTTTCTGCAATATTAGCTCCAGAATGCCAGGAGATCAAACGTTGAAGAGATTTTTTCGATTTTGGATCGTCTTTGCTGGAGTTTCTTAAATTCTTCAAGTATGCGTCAAATCTGGTTGGATATCGTCGTTCTAAAGACCTATAGAAAGTGGTCAAAAAGTTCTGAGACTCGTCTGTGCGTTCTGTCAAATTTTCATCTACTTTCAATGCATTTGACAAGATGGAGTCTACCTCATCGTCTTCCAATGACATACGAGAAAAAATCTCATCCACCATATCCTGTACACCTTTACTGTCACATGAGTTTGTTAAAATACATTGAAAAGCTGTATCCAAAAGTGGAACTAAGAATTTAGAAATCTTTACCGACATGGTCTTTACTTTACATACCGATTCCACAAACCATGGTACCTCGGATAATCGCTGTACAATCCTCTCGGGAACAACTGATAATTGATTGTATGGTGATATATACAAAGATAGAAGCAATAATGTCGCTTCTTGTTTTAAAATTGGATCTTTAAGAATCTTTATCATTAAAAGCTCCATAGTTTCATCGTTTATCCTGACTTTAGTGGAAAGTTTCGCAAGTATCATATAACTGCCCGCTGCAAAGTCCGAGATAGAACTTCCAAGACCTTTTAAAAGACAAGGCAGCATATGATCAACGTAAATTTCAGTTATTGTGGTCAACTGGTGCACGGCACCTATCAAGGACATTGTGTAAAAAGCGTAAAGTGTACTCAAACTTGTAGCCTGGTCACCATAAACCTTTGTAGCTGTCACCACATGATTACACAAATGTTTTAATAAACCATAGTCTGATGCAACTCGATTCACTAACGTTATTGAAGATAAAGGTACTCCAGGCTTTTGCAATGGTTTTAGCCAATGCCACTTATCCCCAGGATTGGATACATCCACCAATTGTAATGCTCTATGGTAAAAACATTGAATTATGTATTTAGTTTATACAAATTTCAAAGGCATTATTTATCTCTAAATTAAGCAATACATACCTTACAAACATACGAGTCTCATGGTAAGGCAGTATAAGCATAAGAAACTGATCTTTGTTGAACTGATGGATATGAAAACGATGGATCAACCATTCGAGCGCTTTATGTGCAACATTTAATAGAAAATATGGTGACAAAAGGATGAGAAACTTTTCTATTTTTGAATCCAGTTTCTCGTTGACCTTTGCATCTTGAACAGAGCGTTCCAAAGACAAAGAAGACTGTGCAAACAGAGTTCCTTCATATTTTTGAAATAGATTGCTCAGTTTGATTAGATCTTGCAACCCACTTTTACCTGCACATATAATAATATGAATATGAAACATATTTACATAGATAATGGCTAAATAAAATCATTTACGCTACCAATATTTAAGACAGTTTCCCTGTCCAAATTAGCTGCTTCCCTTGGATCAAATAACAAGCTTGAACGTTTTTTGTCTTGAAGTAAAAGCTCCGTTTGTGGAGCCCTGAGTTTCCGCAGTTGCTCTGCCAAGGATGTACCCATCCTGGCTGCTACAAAGAAGTATAATTTATTTAGATACACATGCTATGCAGCTGTAATGACACATGCTTGGCACCCTAGTTTCAATTATTAGTCAAATTAGTTTTTAAAAACGAAATTTCTTTACGATACTTTCTAACCTATGCAAATAAGCATGTAGGAAAATAGACTTTTTACGCCAATAGATATTTGTAAACAATTTGTAGAGGAATTTCTAACTCGGTATAATAAAGGTATTCACAAATTACCTTTCTGCTAGATCAATAGCGTCAAAAATTATTCATGTACTTTTGAAAATTTCATTTACTAGAACTAACCTCAGAAACCAAATACTATTCACGTGGACGCCGCAGATGAGATCAAACCATAGACAAAGAATACAGAAGTCTCCATAGAAGCGCAGTTCCCGTGTTGACGCTTGATACCCAATAAATAGTAACCAAGAGGGACGCCAGATGACAACACGGACGAATTAAATATGGCGCGTTCCACCCATGCATGTCAGCAATATTTTGTCCGACTCGTTCGCTTATCATTTATTTTTTATTAATGATAAATAAAACACTGTATCAATATAATCACAGTACTTATTATCGAGCCTATTTGGCACATATAAACATTCTTTGTTATAAAACTTAATAGACCACGCTTTTTGGTACATACTTCGTCGCTATTCTTCTTCTTCTTGTTTTGTACTCTCTATCTAACTACACGATGAACCAAGGTGTGATTGCACGTTGCCCAATGCAGCATTTCCTCAACTGCGTATATAGGTACAGAGATGAGTTGGGAGATTGCTCACGGGCAGGGTCACGCGATCGCACAGTGTGCTGCCCTCTGATTTCGTACGTTAGCTTTCATCGTTTTTTGCCCCCAAGGGCGGCGCAACGAATTTCTGGTAGGGACTTGCGCAATCGCGATGGCTGTGCCATCTACCAGTTGCCGCTGGCGGCTCACGTATTCGTGATGGTAATACCATGTGACAGTTGACGGTGGTGGCTTACCATTATGGCAATCTCCTAACTCATCTCTGCCAAATCAGAGATGAGTTGAGAGATTCACGAGAAGGATCGAGCGACCGCGTCCTGTTCGACCTCCGGTGGAGGATGCAGCCGGCTAATGCACTTGCCACCTGTTACAAATCTGGGCAGCCGGAGAACCGGCTGAAAAAGTGAAGAACTCCTCACAAAAACTCCAAAACCCTGTACCTCCTCCGAAAAAAATCGCAGCCACTAGCTCGAGAGATCAATTTAAGCAGAACAATCTTCCCCATCAAGCTAAAAAACTGATGAACTCCTCACAAAAACTTCAAACCCTGTGTCTCCTCCGAAAAAAATCGCAACCACTAGCTCGAGAGATCAATTTAAACGGAACAACCTTC